TTTACAGACTCTTTAAGTGCGATTCAAAGTTTAAAATCAAATGAAATCAATATCAAGACAAATCCTTACATATTTGAAATTAAAAAAAAGTTTTTACAATTTACGGAAAAAAATTTAGGCACTATTAAATTTTACTGGATACCTTCGCATAGGGGAGTTAGAGGAAATGAGGAGGCTGAAAATTTAGCAAAGGTAGCTATAACTTTAAATACTATGGTTATAGGTCAAATTCCTTTTACAGATTTATATGAAATTTTCAAAAAAAAGCAGCTATTCAAACTAAAAATGCAATAAAAGAGCAGAGCCTATATAAAGGAAAAGAATATTTTACTTATTTTTATAATGATAAATTATCTCCATGGTTTTTGCGAAAAAAATTAAATAGGGAAACTATTGCTACAATAAATCGTTGCAGAGCAAACCATTATAATTTGGCTGCCTCTCTTCATCGAATAGGGATTGTAAATACCCCAAATTGTAAATGCGGCTACGAAACAGAAAATCTAAATCACATAATTTGGCAATGCAAACTTTATAACACACAAAGGGCAAAACTAATTAAAGACTTACGTCAATGTAAATTGAAATTTCCACTCAACATTGACACTATAATAGCTGAACCCAATATTGCGGCATGTAATCGTGTTGTTGAATTTTTTAAAAGATGTAACTTAAAAGTATAGGAAAGAAAAATTCTATGTAAATAATTATTTTAAATTTTTGTATTATTTCCATGTATTTTAACTGAATGTATAGCTGAAATAAACCTTCTTTTAGGTTTCACTTGCTTAAAAAAAAAAAAAAAAGATAGCGCCTACTAATAATTGAAAGTGCTCGAAATATTGCTGAGGAAGTATACCCTCTACAATAGGTAGAGAGTGATAAAAGAAGAAAATTTTATACATAGATGATTTCCAATACTTTAATTTTTTTCTATTGAAAGGAGGCGTCTTTGAGTAAAATTTGGTGGAGTAAGATTTTTTATCGTTTTATCAACAACTGCTACCATTTCTGCAATAGAAAAATTTTTTCCTGAGAATTTCGAATTAAACCAACAGTTCATGAGAGATTTCATTATACCAATAAATACCATATGCATAGTATCTAATGATGTAGTAGTGATCCATTTATACACTAGCAAAGATATCATACATGGACCTTTTACCCCGAATTCAAAACTTTGAGCATGATCCAATGTCTCTGCTTCAGTTCGAAGTGTCATGTTCCTCATATATGGATAAACTTGACGTTTTCCTATTCTTGCCCCCTCTTGTTTACATTTGTGGCACCCGAACTTCCCATTATATTGTTTCATATTGAGGAAAAGAGCCTTTGCTGGAAGGTCGCAAGAACCACAAATGATTATTCCCTTGACATTCAAGTTTTCATTATTAGGTAATTGAAGATCAATTCCATTATGTATTTGATACACTTCATCATAAAGAGGATATAAGAATAAGTTGGGTTCAGGCTTTTCATCACCAAACCACATTCCGGCTAGTATAAGGTTTTCTTTTTTAAACCTCTCTTTATATGGAAGTTCATTTATAACTAAATATACAGGCCAGAATGAAAATTTAGAACATTTGAAACCTTGTACCCCGTCAGTATACCATGAAAAGGATATGTTGTTTCTATCGTAAAGAAATCCACCTGGTTGATTTAATTCTTTGTATATGTTTCCATCATATATATCCTCGATATTTTCCTCAACCAGTTTTTCGCGATTAAAACGATATTGTAATTTCTGATGAAAACCGGGTCTTAAATAAAGTGCTTGAAGTTGCGCAGTGATGGAAACTATTAAAAAGTAGTTTCTATTTTCTGAACACTGAGGACATTGCAAAAGTCCATTCTCAAGAGAATTAAGACATGTCGGGCAATAATAATGTTTAGTGACAGAGGAGTGTAAATTTTCAAAATACTGTTTAAAAGTGTACAGGCTAGATCGACAGAAATTTGGTTCAGGGCAGTCCAAGGAAATTAATTGCAAAATTGCGGCAAGAACTACACCTGATAATGAAAATCTCAAAACCAAGGCAAGTATGGATAATATGCTTTCTTCGATAGTTAAAGGATCTCCTTCAAATAATGGAGTTTCTCTTATATCATTTTCATTTTCCTCATTATTTATATCAGATGCAATGCTTTCATTACCAGACGAAATACTATCATCATGAGAAGCTATACTGTTATCATCGGAATCAAGATTGTCAGAAGAAGAATAATCGACATCAGAAACAATACTATCATCAGAAGAATCAGTAATATCAGAGTAAGTGCTATTACTATCAGAATCATCGTCAGAATTTATACTCGGAGTAGAGTCATCAATAACAGAGTTATTAATACTGCTAGCTGAAGATTCCACATTGGAATCAACACTCGTAGTAGAAGAAGAATAATCATTGTCTGAATCACTAGTCGAAGAGCTTTCTTCATTTTCTTCATTATCATCAAAGTTTGAACTGGCATCTTCATATTCTAAAATAATAAATTTAAATTTAGGATAATAAAAATACAATAATTATTTTATTTACTGCACGATTACGATGAAAATTATTTATTGAAATTTTTGTTAAATTTAATTTTTATTTTAGAGATTTAAATTTATATTTTTTTAAATCAAATTTTCGAATAGCAATTTTTTTATTTCTCAAAATTTTCATTTTGCGACTTTTAAAATCATGATTTTTAAATTGAAGTCGAAATAGTTCTAAAGGATATTTATTTTAAAAAATAAAAATTTTGACACACAAGAATGTCATGCATTTTAAATTTTGTCAAATTGGATTGAGTTTTTTAAAAACAGAGGTAAGGATATTAGAATCTCCATTCTTAGAAAAATTAATTTTTGATTCCAAAAATTTAAAAAGTGAACCTAAATTTCAAACCTAACCTAATTTTTAAGTAAAATTGATATTCATTTACACTGAAGAGCATTATTTGCTTTAAATGAATATGCCTTTATATATATTTGACTATTTCTAAAATAAATATTTACGTATCTAATATGTAGTTTTTAATTAATGTAATTCAAAAATAATTATTTGAATTTAAATCCAGAAATGGCTGTTTTAATTACAATTACTTCTATTAAATTTTTTCAGTGTAGGGGCTGAAATGTTTTGTATGTTTTACCATTTTCCGTTAATTCACCATCATCATCATCATCATCATCAACAGTATGACTATTCGCACAATTTTCATCTTCATTAATTCCATTATTTATTTCATTGTTGATAGAAACATCAGTGTTTTCACTTCCATCACTTTCAACCTAATTATAAAAATTTAGATTTTTATCATTCAATCTCTCTATATTTAAAAAATATTTTATCGTTTTGTTCGATGGAAATAAACGCCCTGACCAAATATAGCACTATATGGAAATTAAGTAATTTTAAATTTACATGGTTATTTAATTACTTACAATTTTTTATACATGTTTATAAATAAAAATTTTCATTAAAATAAAATAATGTAAAATATTCATAAAAGAAGCTATTTGAAAAATTTATTTTGACACTTACTGAATCTGAATTTTCAGAACTAAGCGAATCTTCTGCTAAACTTTTCGCAATCCTCAATTGAGTTCTTTTACTTAAGTTTTCAAAATCTTTATTTCGAGGCATTGCAAAATTATATTGAAAATATTTTTTATTTTTTATAAAAAAACAAAAAATATTTGGAAGTGTGTCTACGTTTGACAGTTGGTGTCATAAATAAATTAGAATTTTTTATAAACAATAAGTATCGTTACTCTTTTTTTTTGTTACCAACGGCAACGTGATTTACATTTTTATCAGTTCGAATTAAAAGTTTGTCTAGTTCGTCAAAAGCTGTTATAGATAAATCGAAAGATTTTTATTAAAAATGGAACCAAAAATGTTTCTGCTAATACAGTGGGTGAAAAAACCTTGTGACGTGACCATTATGGAAGAACCAAAAAATTTAAAAGAATTTAATGAAGGTGACATTGTCGTGGTGGACTATCCTAATAAAGGCTTATTTAAAGGAACTCTTCTTAGAAGAAGTGGTAATTATATAATGAATCACATGTAAATTTTGAAAATTAATTATTATGCAATTAATTTTTTAAGACTTTTATTAACTTTAATTGTACATTATTTTTAAAATGTTCAAATTTACTGCATACGTAAAAAGACAAATAAAATTTAAAAAATATTTTTTAGAATCGAAAAATTACTTAGAAAAAATAAGTAATCAATTAAATAAAGATGGGACATTTGTTGAGGTAAAGAAAGTCAAAATTAAAAAATTGAACGAAAAATCAAAAGAAGAAAAAGCCCATGAAGCTTTAAAAAAAGATGAGAGCTCGAACAAAGAAAATATTTGCAGAAAATGTTCTTTCTAAATTGAATCGGATTTGTGGTAATGCAAATTATTTTAATAATAAATATAACAATATAAAAATAATAATACAATAATAGAAATATAAATAATGAAAACTAATTGTCTATTTTTTATATTAAATTAAAAAATAAAAAGATTATAATTTCAAAATATATATACAAAATTTAATTATTTAACATTTAACATAGTCATGTACATTTATAACCAAAAATATCTAAATATATTAATTACAAGTTTAAATACATATTTCCAAAAAAGGTGAATCGAAAGCGGAAGAAAATTTGACAGAGCCTAGTAATTCAACTGAAACTAATTTTGACAAAGAAATAAATTTAACAGAAGGAGTCGAATTAACTCAAATTATTGAAAAAGAATCTCATACTACAGACAGTAAATATTTACTCTATTAATTTTACTCTATTTAACAAAAAGTTTTTGAAACATTTTAAATAAGTTAATTTTTTGTGTAGGTTATATTAAGATATTATACACAATTTAAGAATTAAAAATTTAATAATAAATAAGAATAATAATATAATAACAGTATAATAATAATTTCTAAAAATTTATACAGATGCAGTGAAAAAACTGGTGCCAAAAAGCATAATGAACAGACGAAAAAAAGAAACCTAAAAGAGGAACAAAAAATTCCAAATTCTAAAACTAAAAAAACTAACCTAACAAAAAACAAAATTCAAAATAAAGATAACAAAGGCACCGAAGAATCTATATAATCAAATGAAAAAAGCATTTCTAATGGGGATAATGAGAAAAATCAGATATTAAATGAACAAGAAGTACCACTTGAAGGAGTTAAATGCTCTAAAAATGGTAAATTTTTTTAAATGTATATTTATAAAATCTAAAAAACTTTCTCATAAAACAGAAGTAGTAATAAAATAATGAAAATAACAATTTTATAAATTATACAGATTTGAGGGACAAAAATGTGGCCAAACAGCAGAATAAGGGAACGAATAATTCAAACCGAAAGGAAGCAAAAAAAATTTCAAATTCCGAAATTAAAAAAATTAATATAAAAGAACGTGAAATTGAAGGAAATGACGATAAATATACTCAAAAATCTGTAACATCAAATGTAGCAATAAAATCTGATGAAAGAAACTTTTCAAATAGAGGAAATGAGAATAAAAAATTATTTGGTGAAAAGGAGGCATTAAATAAAGGAGGTAAATACACTCCAATTTTTCTGTAAAACTCAAATACAATTTCATGATATCAAAGATTCTATCTATTTTTAAATATTCCATGTAAAATACTTTGATGTTTTAGAATGTGAAGAGATTGAAAAGGATCTCGTTATTGCATCTGATCTAGAGGAATTACCAACTGTAACAAATGAGAGAGAAATAATAAATAAAAAAAAGTTACAGTTGAATATGGTAAATTTACTTCGCGGTTTAATTTTTAAATTCACAAAACATTTTCATTTTGCAGAAATAATAATAATCTTTCAAAATTCATGCAGATGCAGTTAAAATAAGTGACAACGAAAAACAGAATGAGAAAAATAAAAACGAAAACCAAAAAGAAGACGAGAAAATTGTTATTTCTAGAATTCGAAAAATTAATGCAACAGAAAATAATTTTATAATTGAAAGTAATGAAGATGCGAGAAAATTTATAAAATCAAATGAAATAAATAGTGGTATATCTGATGAAGAAAGCGTTTTAAACGGAGAAAATGAGAAAGAAAAATTAGTGAACAAAAAAGAAGCATTATTTAAAGGAGGTAAAACCACTTAAAACTTACTTTTAAAATCAATTAAATACAATTTTATAAAATAAAAAATCTTGAAAATGTTTTAAAAAATTCTTGGTGTAAAATATGCAGATTTTGCAGGAAGCAAAGAAACTGAAATGAATGACGTTATATCTGATATAGATTTGGTAACCGTAACAAAAGAGGAAGAAATAATTATGAGCAAAAACGAAATTACAGCTGAAAATGGTAAATGTATTTAATCAAAATATATTAAAAAAATTTGATTTTAAAGAAAAGTAAAATTTTAATAATTTATAAATTAATCTATAACAGTTTTTTATATTTTAAAAATTTTCCTTTATTTATACATATTTTTTGTATTATTTTAAGCAATGGAAAATGAAAATGTGACAAATAATAAAACGAATATTGCAAATATTAAATTTGAAGATATTTTTACGGATGGTAAGAAAATATAAATATGAGAGATTCTTTTTCAATCGCCCCAGCCCAAAAAGTCAATGTTCTGGGATTGGCTTCATACTTTGGTAAAATTGTTGTCCTATATGATAGTAATAAATCCCTAAAATATAAACTCAATAAAAAAATATTTGTAGAAAGTAGAGGGGGTTGAAGTTTTGACGTTAAGGGTAACATTGTCATTTTCAAATCCGTATAACTATGACAAAAGTTAATGGATTTTAATTTATCTATAATGAATTTTATTGCATTTTTCACGTACTTTTCAAAAATGTATACGAAATTTAAAAAAAAAAATTTTAACCCCTTTTTTTCAAAATCAACCCTTATTTTTCGATTTTCACCCCTTCGGGTATTTTTTTTTTATTTTCATTGGAAAGCTGAGGTTTTTTCTGATGAGCTATGTAAATATGAAAATGGGACAAAAATAATTTTGTGAGTAACAGAATATTAAAGTAGGCGGTGTTGATAAGGGGTGTACCTGGAGATCATCTTTGAGGATTTAGATAGGCACCGCCTAATTTAATATTATGTTTCTCACAAAATTATTGTTGTCCCATTTTCATATTTACATAGCTCATGGGAAAGAACCTCAGCTTTCCAATGAAAATAAAAAAAAAAGAAAAAAAAATTCCCGAAGGGGTGAAAATCGAAAAATAAGGGTTGATTTTGAAAAAAAAGGGGTCAAAATTTTTTTTTTTAAATTTTGTATACATTTTTGAAAAGTACGTGAAAAATGCAATAAAATTCATTATAGATAAATTAAAATCCATTAATTTTTGTCATAGTTATACAGATTTGAAAATGACAATGTTACCCTTAACGGCACCCTTATCGGCACCGCCTACTTTAATATTCTGTTACTCACAAAATTATTGTTGTCCCATTTTCATATTTACATAGCTCATCGGAAAAAACCTCAGCTTTCCAATGAAAATAAAAAAAAAGAAAAAAAAATTCCCGAAGGGGTGAAAATCGAAAAATAAGGGTTGATTTTGAAAAAAGGGGTCAAAAATTTTTTTTTTAAATTTTGTATACATTTTTGAAAAGTACGTGAAAAATGCAATAAAATTCATTGTAGAAAAATTAAAATCCATTAATTTTTGTCATAGTTATACAGATTTGAAAATGACAATGTTACCCTTAACGGCACCCTTATCGGCACCGCCTACTTTAATATTCTGTTACTCACAAAATTATTGTTGTCCCATTTTCATATTTACATAGCTCATCGGAAAAAACCTCAGCTTTCCAATGAAAATAAAAAAAAAAAAAATAAATACCCGAAGGGGTGAAAATCGAAAAATAAGGGTTGATTTTGAAAAAAAGGGGTTAAAAATTTTTTTTTTAAATTTCGTATACATTTTTGAAAAGTACATGAAAAATGCAATAAAATTCATTATAAATAAATTATAATCCATTAACTTTTGTCATAGTTATACGGATTTGAAAATGACAATGTTACCCTTAACGTCAAAACTTCAACCCCCTCTACTTTCTACAAATATTTTTTTAATGAGTTTATATTTTAGGGATTTATTACTATCATATAGGACAACAATTTACCAAAGTATGAAGCCAATCCCAGAACATTGACTTTTTGGGCTGGGGCGATTGAAAAAGAATCTCTCATATATTTCTTTATCTATCATAAAATTCATGAATTGAATTCATGAATAAATAAGTGTTTTTAGCAAAAATTATTCAAATTACAATAAGATCTTATTCTAATTATTTTAAAATTTTCAATGCATTAGTAACATCAGAAGTTGTGACTTTCTGCCAAAAATTAGCAATTTATGCTAAAAAAGCATTTGATGAAAAAAATCAATTGAAGCCATCCGTGAGTTAATTATTCTTTTATATAAGACTATTTAAAATAATATAATATTATGTATTTAAAATTTTTAAATTATAAATGAAGGTTGAATTGGATTGAAATGTAATATTTTCACATCATTTATTACAAAATAATTATTTTATATAATAGGAAATATCCAATGACATAAAATCTCAATCGAAACAATGTCAATCGATGTCTAAATTAGTCGAGGATTCCAATATATGGATTAATCAGGACAAATTATTTTTAATGAAGAGATATAAGAAAGACCCACGAGAACTGACCCGTCAATTATTACTAGCGCTGATAGGGGTAGAAAAGTTAAAAACTATGACGGCTCTTGGAAAAAGAGGAAGTGATGCTGTTCCTGAAGACATAAGAGTTGCAGTTTATAGTAAGCGTAGCTTATCTTCCAATTTTGTATTTTGACTGAGAAGAGAAAAACATTTTCTTAACTCAATTTTTAGTAGAATTTTTTAATATATATATCAGAGACCGACATAGACACGAAACGACACGAAAATCAACGTTTGTGTCGACACAACATTTCGTGATGGCCTCTGATATATATATATATATATATATATATATAAAATTGTTCAACAAATTTTCGAATTCTTTAAAATCTTGCATTGAAGATTTAGATTTTTATACTGTTTTGTAATTAATTTTATTTAGAAAATGAATATTGTTTTCCGCGATAATTTGAGAAAGTAAAATCTTGCTATTTAATTTATGGTTTTGTTGTTAAATACGAATTCCCTGACTTTTGAAAATTTTTTATTTTACCCCAACGAAGATCTCTAACCCCTAACGCCGACTATATTTATCAAAATAATATATTCAATATTCACTAAATCAATTCAATCAACAATATATTTTCATCTAAATGCAACAAAATTTACAAAACATTTTTTACTATTTACAAGATATAATTTTACAACCAGTTTGAACCTTGAATGAAATTAAAACAGAAATAAAAAATGAATTTCTTTAAATTAATTAAATTGCACATTTTTCTGTACTCGTGAACGGAATGCAGACTTTTTCAATCTCTGGGTAAAGAGCATATCTGTAAAATAGAAAACATTTATGTTTTTTATCAAACATTTATTCTTAATGTGTGTATTGAATCGACCTTGATCAAAATTTTAACTATATTAAAGTCAACAGTTTTGACTCTTCATATTGTTTGATACACACATCAATTTAAAAAATTCATTTTTTGTTGTAAGACATTTTTCAAAAATTTAGGGACGATAAGGTAAAAAAATCTCGATTGTTTAGTAATTAACATGATAATTTATTAATAAAGAATTTATATCATATAAATAAAATTGTCTAGTTTTTTATGCTTACCATTTTGAAGTGTTTTAACACGTAGATCAAATTTAATTTGGTGATTTACAAGTCATGAACAAGAGGCATCACAATCTTTCCTTTTACACAAGGTATTTTCCACATCTTCGCGAATATGTCTTCAACAGGCCACGAATATCTTTCTGGATTAGAATTGACAACAATTTGGATGTTAAAAAGTCTTGAGTCAACTTCGTCATATAAACTCTGATGAGGAGAAAATTTTTTTCCTATAATTTTTATTTTACCATCAATACATTTAATAATGTTTTCGACAGCTACGGAAGTTCCATCTTTTAAAAGAACGCAAGTATCTTTTGTATTTTGACAGTCAATACAAAAGAATGAATTTTTAAATTTTTTAAATTGTTCTTCATGAAAACAGCAATCATCGGACATTGGTCCATTATTGTGGGGCAATTCTAATTGTATTGTAGATACTTTAAGTGGAAATTTTATTTCTTCTCTCGATTTATCTGCAGCTTCGGTTTCAGCATACCTGCGCGCCATTTGTTCTATCGGTTTTTCTCCTTTTCTTATCATTCGTTTAACACTGGACATATAATTTTCAAATTTAAAAGCGCTGAAATTATCCAAAACTCCAAATTTCTTCACATCCTCGCAAATATGTAGTAAATTATGTACATTGTGAGAAATGTACTTCTTTCCATAAATTATTTCGAAATTTTTTACAAATTCCTGCAACATTTCATGTGCACTGTCTATATTTGCTGCTAGTTGTATATGAGAAGGGTGAGTCAATATTGTTGTTGCTGCGTGTAACATTATGAAATTCGAATACATTTCTGCTGGTAAAATGTTTTTCAAAACGATTGGTCCTGAATATAATAAAAACATTCTAAATTCAGTAGCTTTATATTTGTTGTATTCCCACAATGAACGCGGTCGCCTAGAAAATTCTTTTGGAACACTTCGACTTAGTATTAATAATTTTTTTGAAATCTTGTTAATTCTACCAGCACCTAATCTGACATTGAAAGGACCTTTAATCCATAATGACATTAACTTTTTAACTACACCCAAAAGGATTAAATGCATATAATCCAATGATACACAGGTTATACATCCAAAGTTTGGAATAGTACTTAAAATTGGTTTGTCTCCTGGCTCGAAATCGTCATAAACATTGTTCAAAAAATCATGATCATTCTTCTTTCGAAAAGGTCCAATTCCGGGAAAGCAAACCCTTCCACCTTTCTTTTTATTCTTTTTCTTAGTCTTTTTTGATTGCTTAGGTTCAGAATATTCTCCATGAATGAGACACTTGGCACAACTTTCATAACCAGTGTGGCCTTTTAGTCCTAAAGCAAATGATTTTGCAGGAACGTCACAAATTAAAGCTTCAAAAGTCACTCTTACGTTTTTAATGTTTTTTGTAATTAATTCACTTGCTTCTTTTGCAAAAGAATCCAAAAATTCATTTTTATCTTTGGGTTTACTATATCCATAATACACTCCAACAGGGTAAACTTTTTTTGAATGTAGATCGGAGCATAAAATTAACCAGAAGCTTTTGTTTGTTGATTTATAAATTGGAAGACCGTCAATATTACAAACTAATTTGATGTGGTTTACTTCCAAACCTCTTTGCTTATAGTCTCGATTCATTCCTTCTAAAGCTCTTCTAAGACCAAAGTGATGGTATTGTCCTCCTTCTATTTCAATAATTTTTGTGTTTCTTGGTGTCTTCAATAAAGTTCTTGCATCTTTCGGTAAATTAAAATCGGTGTTTAATCGTAAAATAAGCAATAGTGCTGTTAAAGCAACGAGAGTAATTTTAAATAGAATAGCCCATTCACGCAATTTAATTTTAAAAATGTTTGATTTATTTAATTTTTTAATATCATCTTCATTTCCCTTGTTTTGTGAATCAAATTTGAAATCGGAACTTTCCGAAGAATTATCACTGCTACTGTTAACTTGTTGTTCATACAATTCATGATCTGATACAGACATTTCACTGCTGAGATCAGAATATAAAAATTGTTCATCGGAATCAGATTTTTCATTAAGATTGTCGCTTTCTTCAGAAATATTGAAATCTTCACTGATAGAGTAATTTACTTCTTCCTCTGATACTTCATAATTATTCATTTCGTTATCAACATGTATTATTTCTTCATCATTTTTGGATTCTACAAATAAATTACATTTATTTTACTTTATTTTTTTTTTTTATTTTTTTATTTTAAAGCTATTTACCAAATAAATTATTAATGTCAACGCTATTATTTAAACGATTTTGATTGGCTGAAAGACTCCGAATATATTCACAATCTGCATCAGTTTGTCGTTTTATAATTCGCCGTAAATGTCGCTTAGAATAGCCACATAGTGACTGCAATTTTTTCTCATCAAATTTTCCCATTTTAATAATCTGAAATATATAATTCAAAAAAACTTAAAATGAAACTGAAACTGTCACCCAGTTATCAGCACCCAATTAATTTTTCAAAATGTTATGTTAAATTGTAAACAAAATAAATATTTTAATTAAAGATTTAATTTGTGTCCAGTTAACCATTGTGTCCATACTAATTATTATCATCCTCTTAATTTTGAATATTAAACTTTTTTTGTTAAAACCAACATGAAATTTTGAAAAATTAACTGGGTGCTGATAAGTGGGTGCCAGTAGTTTCAGCTTCATAAAATTAAAACCTACTCTCTTGTCATACTTTGCTTATTTAGTTAAAACATTTAGTTCACTTTGACAAATGCATAAAAAGTAAAATTTAATTTATTACAGTAGTGGAAAATTTTAGTTTAAAAAATGTGCATTACAGTTCGTACGGTAAGTAATATTTTTATCGTATCTAAAATTATAAAGTAGTTTTGAAAATTTGTAGAAGATATGAAAAACTAACCTACATGCTTTGTTTTGAGCAGTGATTATATGTATATTTACATAATTACGAAGGAAGTACAAAAATTACTACAACGAGTGCGTTTAAAAAATCTCCACCGTGTAAGCTGCTGCCCTCATGAAGAAAGAATTTTTAATTTTGATAAAAAGGATGAAATTAACCTTATGGCTAGAAGTCAACATTTCTATGATATTTTTATAACACAATTAGAAAAAAATTTTTGCACTCAAATATTTGGTCAATCAATATTATTTGTAAACAACTTTTATGAATCAATTTATATTTAATTGCCATGAAAGTGACGTTTATAAATTCATTTCTTTTAAACAGAATAATCGTAAATTATTTAATTAATGGTTTTGGAAATTTTTAGAAAATAAAATTATTATAAATATTTTTATTATTATTTTATTTATTTATTTTAATTTAATTATTTTAATTTTAATAATTTTAATTTTTTTTATTTCTATTATTAAAAGTTATTATATTTTAAACCTGAAAGTTTGTTTCTGAACTGTGATCACATAAAGATTCTAGAATTATTGATGAAGAGTTCTCCAAAAAGATTTATAACAAAATCTCCGCCGTGTATGCTGCTGCCATCATCAATTAACTAATTTTCAAATTCTGATGAAAAAAATGAATGAACCTTATTGCTGAAAGTTGGCATTATAATAGTAGTGTGTTTATAGTGAAATGTAAATAACTTTTAGGAAATTGTCTCTATATTAAATTGGCTTATATAACATATTTATAAAATCATTTTTTTCAAAGAAACTATTTGCAAATTATTTTTGATTCATTGAAAAACATTTGAAGGTGTCTTTTTGTGTTTTTTTTCAAGAAGTAATAAAAAATAGAGAAACAAAATAATGTTCAATCTAGATAGAACTTCAAGTGACATTTGATGTGTAAAGTTAAACGTCAAGGATAATTTATTTTTTTGTCATTTTCTTCTAAAGGTAACTATATCAATTTTAAAAAAAATTTGAAAATAATTATTTTTAATTATACAAAGGTGCTAATAAGCGTAAAATTTTTATAACTATCTTTCAGGTATAATGGAGTACCTTCCATCACCTTCTGCTCCATTTTCAGTTGTAGAATTTGAGGATGGTTTAAGCGTAGTTTCGACATCTTGGTTGACCTTCAATAATAAAGGAGAATGCACTTCGAGCTTTTATCCACATTGTGACGATAAAAAAATAATCGATAAATCAATCATGTCTCATATGATTCCTGATTCTAAATGGGGAAAACAATACCCTGTAGTGAAGCATTTGCGCTATGCTCGTAAGTTGAAAATAGTTCTAAATTAACATTTCTAGAATCTAAAACTTTAGTTTCTATTAGGTACTAAGGTAAATTCTTTTTATAAGTGTACAATATTTAAATCTTATTTTATTTTTTACATTGTCAATTTAGATTCGTACGAAGGAGCATTAAAAAAGTTAGATTTATTGTTGGATCTATCGGAAATTGATACAGATGATGCCTTAAATGCAGAAAAACTAAAAAAATCTCGACAATTACGAGCAAAAATTGTTAAGACTGAAAAATTGACTTCTCAAGAAAAGATAAATATTTCTTCGTTTAAACCAAAAATAACGTTTCAGTCATCAGTTTCACTTGCAATGAAAAAAAACAAATAATTTGGAGAAAAAACGTAAGATAATTTAAAATATTTTATAATTTTTCAAAAAATTTAGTTTTATAAAAAATTCATATTTCAAATATTTTTTATATTCATAAATTTAATTAATATCATTTTTACTTTTATATTTTATTGATAAAAAATATATCTTTTTTTTGGTTTTTTAAATTATTTTTTTAGTTACGTAATAACAATCATTTTCTCGTTGCCCTGAAAGTAAAGTGATGAAATTAGATGTAACTGTTAAACAAAAATTTTTATCTACAGGTGATTCCAATAATGTTAATGCTTCTATCAAGAGTGTGACAGAAGAAGGACAAGTGGAAGCAGCAAGAAATTCAAATCAATTTATCGAAAATACAATAGAATCAGAAGAAGTGGAAGCAGCAAATAATTCTAATACAATTGCTGAAAATTTTAAAGAAGATCTACAAGTTGAATCTGAAAGCCATTTGCAAAAAAATTTGAACACTTCTGAAGCAAATAGTACTGTTAAAGGTAAAAAATATTAAAAACTTCTGAGTAAGATATTTTCAATTTTCTTTTTTATAATACTGTACATTAATAGGTACAATAAACAAAAAGAGGCCTTCTGACATGAATTCCGAAGAATCAGAACCTAAACGGAGTCGAGGTGGATCCAAATATGAAGATTCACCAGAAGACTTAGATGGTTGTAAGTAATATATATAAATATTTAACTATTTATATATATATATATATAAATATTTATATAAATATTTATATATTAAATATTTATATTATTATATATGGGCATATCTCTAGAACTTTTAACTTTAATGTCCCTCGCATATATTTTGGTAATTTTAATAAATTTTTCGTTGGTTTTTGTTGGAAATATTAATGCTTGATACAATCAATCATTTCCAAAAGATTCCACTTTAATTTATTAAATACATAAATAATTATTTCAATTTTAATACGCGATTTTTAACAATGTCTACTTGTCCTTAACCATACTTTCTGATGCTTTAAACGATATAGTTTTAGATTTAATAAAAATTACTAATTCTGAAATATGTTTTTTCAATGTTAATTAATCGGTGAACACATTTTCGCAGGGAAATTAATATTTTATTAATTGTGAAAAAATTTATAAGCTTTTAAAAGTTGTCCCTCACTTTTAACCTTTTCGACCGTAATCATCGTATTTATGATTTTTCTATTATAAGACAAGCGGCACGTTAAAATAACTTATGGGAAATCAAAGATCAAGTTACTATAATTATTTTGAGACATAATAAATTGATGTGCTTCATGTCTTCAAAAAACTATTATAAGTTAAATAAACGAAAACACGCGTGGACAAAATTTGAAAACAACCGTAATACGAGTGATACTTCATGAAAATCATATAAAAGTATTTGAAAAGTACTTGTATATATTTTCACATGTGCCATTTAACATCCCGTGAATGTGCTTCGAGAAAAAATACTTTATTGCAAAGATAATGTAAAAATATTCATCAATTACGGTCGACCGTAATCGACCGAAATTTTTTAGAAAGAAATTGTTATGTACGAAGTTGCCGATTATAATTTTTTTTATAGAAACTGTCATTAATTATTAAAACCTGAAGGTTAAGTTTTAATGTTTATTTCGAGACATAAAAATGGATACAAAAAAATTAATTCTAAAAAAAGATAAGATGCGAGAGAAAAGAAAAATAGAAAAGGAAAAAAGAGAAAAGAAATTGGAATGTTTACGAATATTAAATTTAAATAGAAAAAAGTCTATGAAAATCGTATGGTAAATTTTAAACATTACAATTTTACATTTTTAAAACAATTCACTATAATAAAAATCTATTTTAAAATACACAATTTAACTTTTCAGTAATTCAAAAGGAAATGAAACGAAAAGTGAAAACATAAATTGTAACTCGAAATCAAGTAATGTCAGTGATATCCCAGTCCATGTTTCGGTTGAAAATAATATAGATTTTGACAAGTAATTAAATTAATTATTACATAAATATTAAATATATTTTTATGGTGATATCTTTGAATGCATATTTACAAATAATTTATATTAATATAAAATAATTTTGTCAAATAAAAATATTACAATTTTAAATTGTTAAATTAGTTTAGTTTAATTGAAATTAATTTGTAAAATTAACAATTTACATTTTCAGTCATTCAAAAGTAAACGAAACGAAAAATAATGTTAATGATATCCCAGCCCATGCTTCGGTTGAAAATAATTCATATTTTAACAAGTAATTAAATTAATTAACTATTTAATTTAATTCATTTACTTATTTAATTTAATAAATTAAATCTTTGCATGCGTATTTACATATAATTTATATTATTACAGAATACTTTTGTCAGATAAAAATCAAAACGAACCATCACCATTAATTGTAGCGGATTCTTCATATAGCGCAATAACGACAAATCAATTCAAAAACGGTTTAAATAAAAGATCTAAGAATTACAATGCAGTTAAACAATGGCGGGAAAATTTAAAAACTTGTCCTGATTTGTATAATGAATATAAAGAAAAGGAAAAACTCAGAAGCAGAAATCGTCGAATGCAAAATCGAATAACGAATAAGAATCGAAAAAATGACCAAAGCATAAAAATTTGTCAAGTTTCAAATTCTCGATTGCGAGAACAGCGCTTTCGAAGAGAACTTGCATTATTGAGAAAACAATTGGCTTCTCAGAAACGATTAACGGAAAAATGGAAAAAAAAATATTACAGGTTAAAATCAAAAAATGAGAAACAACCCGATCTTATTGACAAAAAAGTAGACAAAATTATGAAATCCGGAGAAGAGGCCGTTAAATCTCGATTAAAATTTTGCGAAGCGTTAATAACTCAGATAGCAGAACGTAAATCTAATTTGAAAACTGAAGTCAGTCGTTCTATGTTAAATCAGATTTTAGCCGGAAAAATTTTGAAGAAGTATAGAGTTATGAGACAAGCAAAGCCAATAACGAGTATGTATGCGCAGAGAAAATATTCAAATAAAGCAGATTTTACGTTCAAAAGACAAAATAAACAAAAGGCAGAGTTACATTCGTCAATGGCACAAAGTATTGAAGATTTCTTAACGAAAGATGAGCACTCCTATCCAGCTCCAGGTAAAAAAGATGTGATTGTGCGAAATGGGAAAGTAACAAGAAAACGTTATTTGGCTGATTCGTTAGATAACTTGTATAAAAAGTATCAACTTGAGTCACATCTATCAGTCTCTCGAGCCACGTTTTTTCGTTTGAAACCGTTTTGGGTAGTCTATCGCTCATTAAATTCTAGGGAAACTTGTTTATGTAAACTGCATGAAAACTTCAATATTCTCTTGGAAAAACTAACAAATTTGAAAATAATAAAAACAAAAGGTTTAACAGAATTTACTGCTTCTGTTACGTGTGATTCATCTCAGCAAACCTGTATGTACAGAAACTGCGAAAATTGTATTCAGAAATGTGTTCCGATTCCTATGGAGGATAAACCTGCTATTTATGAAAAATGGGTAACACAACAGTATGAAAGACAAGGTGCGAAAGGAAAAACTTTTTCTGGAAAAGAAACTGTGAAAAAGAAAATACAGTGCAACGTTTCTGACATTGTGGTGGAATTAAATTCTTCTACGAAACAATACTTGCGACATTCTTTCGACACATCTCATCAGTATAAAAATCTTACCAATTTGCGGACAAATCTAGGATGCAATGAAGTCTACATTGTAGTCGATTTTTCTGAAAACTATGTTGGTAAATATGCCAAAGCAATACAAAGTGCCCATTTTGGTGCTTCAGCAAAACAAATTTCTTTGCACACTGGATGCTTCTTTTTTAAAGATTTTACGAAACAGAAAGTTGAATGTGTATCTTTTGGTACAGTCTCGGACTGCTTGCGTCATGATGCTTGTGCAATTTGGGCTCATATGAAACCTATTTTTGAATTAATGAACCGTTATGTACCCGAAATTAAAACGATTCATTTTCAAAGTGATGGCCCAACTGTACAATACAAAAATAAAACAAATTTCTTTCTGTTACGCTATTATTCTGAAAAATTGAAGTGGACAAATGTGACTTGGAATTTTACCACTTCTGGACACGGCAAAAGTTTCGCTGATGGTGTTGGTGGAAGCATCAAACAGCAGTGCGACTCAGCTGTAACACACGGCAAAGACATCCGTTCTGCATCTGACATTGTAAATATGTACAAAAAATCTGACTCTAAAATTCATGTTTTCGAAATATCTGAAACTGAGATGAAAAATATTGATGATCTAACTCCAAAAAATCATTGTGCTATTCCTAACACCAGAACAATTCATCAAATCATTTGGACGAATCAGGAAGTTGATAAGCTGTACTTGGGCAGCTTAACGTGTTGCGAATGCATCTACTCTCCTCCTTGTAAACATTATAGTTTGAATCCTAATTTCTTTAAGTATGACGAAGAAATACGATATGATGATTCAAATTTAATTTCGGATTTATCGGAAATGATTTTTCAAAAAGAAGATTGGTTGGCTATAATTAATAAAAAAACGTGGATTCCCTGCGTAGTAGAAGAGGTTTTAAACGATCGTTTTGTTGTTTCGCCAATGCGTCGAGTAGGAAAGAAATTATTCTGGCCAAAGAAAAAATACACTTTAGAAATTACTAAAGAAACAATTTTGTGCAAAATCGAAGAACTTCCAACATTTGACTCGAAATCACATTTTTTCAGCGAGAAGCAATATAAATTTATTGCTAAATTATTTAAAAAAAAAAATAATGTAAGAAATTTATTTGTTACTCAAATGGTAATTTGATACCCATTTTAGAAATAATAATTGTTTTATCTGTCCACTTGTATAATTGGAAAGCTTAGTTCTTGAAGTTTATGCACGGAGAGAAAAATCTGCCTTTTATAGTATGAAATAGATTGCTGCTATTTTTCTTTAAACTTTTCATACTAATAGAGCAAAGATTTGAGAATTTTTAGGATAGTATTTGTCCGTACTAAAAA